TGGCAATGAGGAATCAACGCTCAATCCATATGCAAGCACTTCTTCCATGGAATCGATAACAAGTCCTACGGCTAGCACAACTGAGGCAATTGATTTCTCCTCTTCCACAGAAGAAATTTTATCTACAACCAAGAGCGAAGCTACTGACCAGATTTCATCTTCAACTGGAAATGAGGAATCAACGCTCAATTCATATGCAAGCACTTCTTCCACGGAATCGATAACAAATCCTACGGCTAGCACATCTGAAGCAGGTGAGATCTACTCTTCCACAGAAGAACTTTTATCTACAACTAAGAGCGAACCTACTGATCAGATTTTGTCTTCAACTGGCAATGAGGAATCAACGCTCAATCCATATGCAAGCACTTCTTGCACGAAATCGATAACAAGTCCTACGGCTAGCACAACTGAAGCAGGTGCGATCTCCTCTTCAACGGAAGAAATTTTATCTACAACCAAGAGCGGAGCTACTGATCAGATTTCGTCTTCAACTGGCAATGAGGAATCAACGCTCAATCCATATGCAAGCACTTCTTCCACGGAATCGATAACAAGTTCTACGGCTAGCACATCTGAAGCAGGTGAAATCGTCTCTTCAACGGAAGAAGTTTTATCTACAACCAAGAGCGAAGCTACCAATCAGATTTCATCTTCAACTGGCAATGAGGGATCAACGCTCAACCCATATGCAAGCACTTCTTCCACGGAATCGATAACAAGTCCTACAGCTAGAACAACTGAAGCAGGTGAGATGTCCTCTTCAACGGAAGAAATTTTATCTACAACCAAGAGCGGAGCTACTGATCAGATTTCGTCTTCAACTGGCAATGAGGAATCTACGCTCAATCCATATGCAAGCACTTCTTCCACGGAATCGATAACAAGCCCTACGGCTAGCACAACTGAAGCAGGTGAGATGTCCTCTTCAACGGAAGAAATTTTGTCTACAACCAAGAGCGGAGCTACTGATCAGATTTCATCTTCAACTGGCAATGAGGAATCAACGCTCAATCCATATGCAAGCACTTCTTCTACGGAATCGGTAACAAGTTCTACGGCTAGCACAACTGAAGCAGGTGAGATCGCCTCTTCCACAGAAGAAATTTTATCTAAAACCAAGAGCGAAGCGACTGATAAGGTTTCATCTTCAACTGGCAATGAGGAATCAATTCTCAATCCATATGCAGGCACTTCTTCCACGGATTCGATAACAAGTCCTACGGCTAGCACAACTGAAGCAGGTGAGATGTCCTCTTCAACAGAAAAACTTTTATCTACAACCAAGAGCGGAGCTACTGATCAGATTTCATCTTCAACTGGCAATGAGGAATCAACGCTCAATCCATATGCAAGCACTTCTTCCACGGAATCGATACCAAGTCCTATGGCTAGCACAACTGAAGCAGGTGAGATCTCCTCTTCAACGGAAGAAATTTTATATACAACCAAGAGCGAAGCTACTGATCAGATTTCATCTTCAACTGGCAATGAGGAATCAACGTTCCACCCATATGCAAAAACTTCTTCCACGGAATCGATAACAATTTCTGCGGCTAGCACAACTGAGGCAGGTGATTTCTCCTCTTCCACAGAAGAAATTTTATATACAACCAAGAGCGAAGCTACTGATCAGATATCATCTTCAACTGGCATTGAGGAATCAGCGCTCAACCCATATGCAAGCAGTCCTTCCACGGAATCGATAACAAGTCCTACGGCTAGCACAACTGAAGAAGGTGAGATCTCCTCTTCCTCTGAAGAAATTTTATCTACAACCAAGAGCGCAGCTACTGATCAGATTTCATCTTCAACTGGCAATGAGGAATCAATTCTCATTCCATATGCAGGCACTTCTTTCACGCATTCGATAACAAGTCCTACGGCTAGCACAACTGAAGCAGGTGAGATGTCCTCTTCAACAGAAGAAATTTTATCTACAACCAAGAGCGGAGCTACTGATCAGATTTCATCTTCAACTGGCAATGAGGAATCAATTCTCAATCCATATGCAAGCACTTCTTCAACGGAATCGATAACAAGTCATATGGCTAGCACATCTGAAGCAGGTGAGATCTCTTCAACGGAAAAAAATTTATCTACAACCAAGAGCGGAGCTACTCATCTGATTTCATCTTCAACTGGCAATGAGGAATCAACGCTCATTCCATATGCAATCACTTCTTCCACGGAAGAGATAATAAGTCGTATGCCTAGCACATCTGAGGCAAGCGAGATCTCCACTTCAACGGAAAAAATTTTATCTACAACAAAGAGCGGAGCTACTCATCAGATTCCATCTTCAACTGGCAATGAGGAATCAACGCTCAACCCATATGCATGCACTTCTTCCACGGAATCGATAACAAGTCCTACGGCTAGCACAAGTAAAGCAACTGAGATCTCCACATCAATGGAAGAAATTGTATCTACAATAAAGAGCACAGTTACTAATCAGCCTTCACTTTCAACTGGCAGTGTGGAATTAACGCTCTTTCCATCTTCAAGCACTTCCCCCACGGAAGCGATAACAGGTCCTACGCCTAGCACAAATGAAGCAGGTGAGATCTCCACGTCACCGGAAGGACCTTTATCGATAACGAAGAGTACCGATATCAAACATCGTCCATATTTAAGTGGGAAGGATGAATCAACTGGAAATCCATCTAAAAGCGCTTCTTCCATGGATACCCTTACAAGTCGTACTCCAAGCATAATTGAAGGAAGGGAGTTTTCCACTCCATATTTAATGAATTCTCCGTCCGCACTCCAACCGATAAACTATTTGCTACAATCACATTTTCCGAAACTAAGCGCCGTTCATCTTCATCAGTGAACAAGGCTTTAACGATCAATCTATATCTTATCCACCTATCGAGTTATACTGTTATGGAGGAAAAAGCAAGCGCTACACCTTGGTCAGCTTTTACGGTCGTCTGTGAACGCAGCGTTAACGAATAATCCATCTGCAAGCCATCCCTTTTGCCCAAAGAACTGTTTTGTTCAATCTAGAGTACTGAAACCAAACAGCATTTTTCTTCATCTATGAATGAGGCATCTAGCTACATGTTCTTCGCCAATAGTAAACGACAACGAGATTTGGCGTAACTAATTTTTTTTCACAGGATTCTGCTTCGTTTTTTATTTATAAACGGTAACAAGTTCTACAATAGTTGGTTGTCAAGAAGAGGAGTCCAACAGCTCTTGACTTTATTTCTACTTTTTTCGATTGTCGATTACGAATAACCTTCTTCTCCGGTATTGTACGAGCAACCACCGAATAATCTCTCTATGATTTGCGTATCAAATTATTATTATTTATTTGAAACGGAATTTTTCTAAGTCCATAGTGTAACCAGCATTCACATTAGACATGGGCTCATTGTGCTCAAAGTTCTACATTTGTATTAGAAACATATGTATAAGTTTTTATGTTGGGTATTTAATAAATACGATTTAAGTGTCTACATGTGTATTAGTAATAATTATATGGCTTCGATGTTATGTCAACCGATTGTTTTGTTTTTTCTAATGTAAGCGATTATCTACAACAAAACAATAAATAATATTTCAAATTCCAATTACGATTGTTTACGCATACCCGTACTAAGGAATTCAAGAACAATTATCGCTTGTAAGTAAGTGTCCCTGACATATTCTATAAACAAAAAAATTACAAGTTTTTATTAGTTAATTTTATTAGTGTTGTAAACGATTCTTTTGTGTGAAAATCGAAAATGTGTATGGTTTTTTTACCTATAAAAAGTATGCCCAGTTCTTGCACCGGCAGTAGTTTCAAGCGAACGGCGGATAGAGTGGACTCAAAAAAAAAAAAAAATTAATTGAAAACAAAAACATTAATAACGACTTACTTCGCAAAAAAAAAAAACGTCTCGCGATGCTAAAATTAACAGTACTATTGCTCTGCCTTGCTGCAGGTACTTCCTTGGCAATGTCATCCAATAATTTGCTACGCAAAACAGAGATAAATTTACTACAATTAATGATGGAGACACGTCTACATCAACGCGCTCATCCAGAACGAAGCATGGATTGCTTTGATTACTACCTACAGCTGTTTGATAGTATAAGCAACGAGTATAAGGTAAGCTATGCAGCTTGCTTGGCAACCGCAGAAGAGGATAGGAAAATAGTTGACGCCTCAACTCGGCCCGAGCGAGAATCGCTTGAGCAATCGGCACGATCGTCGTGCGTGGCTTTAAAAGATTGCTCTGAACTCAGTGGGTCTATCGATTACTTTAGCTGTTTTGCAGTAAGCGTAAGTACCTAGGAAATGATAGTAAAGTGAAACTGAAATAGAGATTTATATCTGATTTATTTACTTCAAGGGCAAGGAGAATACTGCAAATATGTATGATATTTCGGCCAACGCTTCAGAAAAATTAGCCGACGTGCGCGAAAGTTATCGTCTAATTGAGAATAGTGAACATCGTTGTACAAATGATTCGGAACGCGCTTACGTTGAGCAGACCTATCAGGCAAATTTAGATTTGCAAAGCTGTCTACGTGGTGAAACATCAGTACCAACAACAACGCCAAAACCATCAACTACGCCGGATGATCCAACCACCGTCGCTTCTCCAGGCACTACCACTGAAGAGCCTGAGGCAACGTCACCATCTGAGGAAACAACCACCGAGGAGCCCGACACAACGTCGCCATCTGTGGAAACATCCACCGAGGACCCCGAAACAACGTCGCCATCTGAGGAAACAACCATCGAGGACCCCGAAACAACGTCGCCATCTGAGGAAACAACCACCGAAGGCCCTGAAAAAACGTCGCCATCTGAGGAACCAACCACCGAGGACCCTGAAACAAGTACCTCCTCTCAAGATAGCACCACCGAAGAGTCAGATACCACAGCCGCTACTGGGGAAACATGGACTGAAAGCAATGAAACAACAAAAGATTCTGATTCCTCAGAGAGTAGTTCCAGTGAGTCCAATAGCAGTGGCTCTGAATCTAGTGAGGCGCCGGAGAATATGATGCCAGAAGAAGATTTGCGTTCAATTCAGATGAAACGTCTTGCCAAAATAAGAGCAGCTTTAAGCAAATACTGAAAGGAGGCAAGTTTTTTATGACGTTTGATTCGAGTTTTTTATGTCGCAGTATTGTTGATAGCAGTAACGATAATTTATTGTACGTAAGTTTTGATTATAATAATAAATAGATTACTGTAAATGCTATCTTGTCTGCATACACGGGTAGATAAGGAAGCCTAGAAAGCGTATAGTAAATCGTGAGCAATTTAATTCAGTATACATATAAGACTGTGTAGCAACCATGATTCGAAAAACTTTCGTATGTTTAGTAAAACAAATTATTTAGATGATCAATAGATTTGAAGGGCTGCATTGGGATGAAGTGGAGCTTCTGGGTAGGCACGACAATATTCAATTTCTAGTCTTGCGTCGGCGTTCGCCGTTCCTAAACAACGTGGGAAGAACAGAAGCGAGACGAGGTAACTAATCCATAGGGAGTATTGGGTCACTCAGACACATTTGGTTAAGGGCCCACTGAAGACTGAAATCATTTAAGATGAACGGTTAAGCCTTTTTCTCCCTGAAACATTTTTCATTACAGAGTGCGAATTGTTACACTCTTGCGGGAAAGTTTTGAAGTGCCTCTATTTTTCTTCCAAATATGGACTCTTTACAAACAAACAGGTAGATACGTATATTTATAGTGGATTAAGATCCTGGCCTGTGTTTTCGGCCTGTAACCGGAAGTATCGCTGTTTCTTTTCTATACCAAATGTAAATATATGTAATCAATTATCTACGAGTATATTTACAAAATAATGTAGACCAATGCCATGATGAACGCATAAAAATATTACGTAAACTTTATAGGTGCTTTTTTCTAGTTCGCTAAATTTGCACAAATGCTACTCCAGATGCATTTGTTATCAGGCGTAAGCAATACTTTTCCAAGAATCTTATAATTGACACTACAAACAAAAAACAATACCCATAAAATTGGAGCGGTTTCGATATTTAACTTTGTATAGGTGGGAAAAATAAGATTTCCCGCTTTGATAAGCAACTTCCTGTAGTTCAGTTTCAACAAGCATTTATGACCAAACTGTTTATGTCATTTAAATACTTCCATTTGATTAGATATGTGGCTATATAGTACATGTATATGTGTGCAGTTTCCTATAACTCGTAATAAATCATTTCTAATAATAGCGATTCGAATTAAGAAATCTCTTCTTTTGAGTAAGCGATTAGATTAAAAAATCACTTATGGCGATAGTGAAAAATTATGTACCTATGCCGAAGGTGAAATTGGAGTCTACACATGCATAAACATATATTTTATATATATTATATATGGGACATTCTATGCTAAAATAGGAGGAGGATCTGGGTTTAATCCCTGGTCCGAGCAACATCTAAATTAGAAAAGGCTGGTCTTACAGAATATATGAAAGGATTCGGTGCCGGGCGTTTGACGATTTCAATGCTGCCAGGGTGCGCAAGGAAAATTCTACCAACAAGGTCTAAAAAATCCAACATACACCAGGTAATCAGCATGAACCGAATCTTAGAAAATACTCCTGTGAGGGGTACCTACATTCACTATCCCTTCGACGATTTGAAAACCACTTTTATCGACGCCAATAGGAGATACATATATGCCGCGATGCCCAATGGGGTACTTCATGACAGTAATACGTAATTAAGTTTAATATATTTTGTTTGTGGAAAAAATTAAAAGTTTTGCCAAATAGAAAATAAACCGTCGATCTAATTTAAATTAAAAATAAATTTCGCATATAGAGTTTGAAGCAATTTAATGATAGGCAAATTTTTAATAAGTTCTTATTCGATCGCAAAATTTCTATCTATTTGAAGGGCAGTTATGGGTTCAGTAATTGCGCTCAGGGGTTTCTTGATGATGAAGAGCCGTTTCCGTGGACCTAGTTTTATAGTAGTCATTCTGGGATTTGTATAGATAGAAAGTTAGGACCTATGGAGAGCCTGAAGGGGATTTCTAAATTATCTGCTAGACTTAGTAAGAGATGCTCTGCCTGCCAATGGTATAAATACCACTTTAATATTTCTATAGTAGAGCTACAGATAGCTTATCAATACGGGTTTGTCAAATGATTTAATATATTCCATGGTGCATATATGTATGTATTGCAGTTGGGCCGGGTAAATATTGTCTAGTCCATGAAATGTATACCACGACGCGTGAGTTAATATATCACGCGCGATTTTTCTATTCTAATTCTAATTCAGCTTCCCTGTATTCTATAATAAAGCCCGCTACACGTGGACCTACATAAGAGCATTTTTATCTTCGTAGAAGTAAAATATTGGTTTCCCTAATAATGGCAGACGCAGAACAAGGCCTCATATATATAAATTTTTTTTTTTTGAGAAGACCAGGTGCAGAGATCTTTTGCCTTGTGTGGTGTTTCTAATTAAAAAGTTAATGCATTAATAGAGATTAAGAAGGATTAAATACCAATACTTTTGATACAAATATATGTTTAGTTATAATACACTTAAAGTGAATGCAAGTTTTCATACGTACATAGAAAAATTTACAAAATTGCCGACTTGCTAACTACTTGCTAAATTCATATTACTTACAATCTAATCTTTCTTGAGTAACAGGCCCCAAAAAATAAACCACCCAAAATGTTGGTATCACTCTCACACATTGTCATAATTTCCAAAGAAATCACACACTCAAAATTTTTTGAATAAAATTAAGATAGTCATTGGCTTTTATAATTTTTATACAACAATTACGTGAGTAGTAGTTGTTATCTGCAGATACATAACTAACATACTCATACATATGTTTTCATGTACTCACTTCCAATTACTCATTGTTTAATTCTAATCAGGCGCTAGTCATTCTGATTAAATTTGATTGCTAATTAAATACTAATCAAGCAAATGAAAAAAAGTAACAAAAAATTATACGCGCTGCTACTTGTACGAGTATTGCGTGACAAAACTGTTTGCGAAAAAATATTGTGCCGTCTTTTAAAATTAGTTGATAAATTTTTAAGACACAGAAGCCAAGCGATTAGAAGTGTGTATAACTACTTGGTAAAGGACAGAGATTTGATGTCACTTTCGAGTAACATGCAAGTTTTTTTTTCTTTAAATAGCGGTCATCCCCGGCTAACCTGAAAAAGCTGCTCCTATATATATGAATGTACACAGATATGTAACTATTTGCTATTCGTGGTCGGTGTTAGACTAAAGCCACCTCCGTTAAAGTCACCATATTAAGGTGTCCAACATAAATTAGAGGAGAAGCTCGGCCAAATACCTACCTACTTGATAAAATGAGTGGCGCCAAATATTTTTGATTTCTATGTATTTTAATTAGCAATAGATAATGTGCGGAAAAACACATTTAATTTTTTTCTGGGCATGATTTTATCTTGCTACTGATAATGCTTACTGTGAAATAATTATGTACAAGTGTTTGAAGGTTGTTAACGAGAGTTTAGGTTTTATTTTTATACAAACATTTGTAATTACATACATATGTATGTACATGTAAAGAAGTTTGATTCAGATCCAGTTTCAGCTATTTGTAGCGATTTGCCTTTTATTAAATCGTCGCTGGAATAATGAAATAGTGTAACATGAAAAGTATAGTTTTGAGAAAAACGAATTGGAAGTTTTTATAAACCCTTACAATTCATACAAATACAATTTCGTTTTTCGGGAATAAATTAGTGAGCCAAAGAGATATTTAAGAAAACTAAAGATTTTTCTAATAGATTAAAGGATTGTCTATCCAATGGTGCAATTATCGAATAATAGTGTATGTGGCATTTACACTGTTTCTTTATTCGAGCGACGAAATAAAAGTGTAATGTATTTATTTTGTGTCAATTATACGACTACCATAAAAATCCATACCTGGTTGAATATACATCAATGGCATGCCAGTTAAGTGGTACGATGTGTACGTGATTGTTCAATAACAATATTATTCATGTCCGATAAAAGTCGTTAATAAATTTCCTCGAATCAACTTATATAATTTTTAATTAATAAATAATACTGTTATTTACGAAATTTTTAATATTACCTTATACTTATCCTCGCCTGGATAAAAGATTGTGGTATGTTACTTTCGGTAAAAAAATCGATTTCCTCCAAAGTCTCGGAGAATGTTACTAGTTAGCGACGTCCTTTAATTATCTCATTGTAATTGTTTATCTATCTATATATACTTATAATACGCAAAGGGATTTTTTGTCCAGGTCATCAGATCTGCACCGTTCGTTCGATTTTCAAAAAAGAGGTGCCAAATTAAAAAATTGCCACCTATCAAATAATTTAATTTGAATTATTTAATAATCAGTGCCATCGGATTCACACTGTTCCTTCGATTTTCAAACATTATTTGCCAAATTAAAGGGCTTGGGCTACAGATGTCAAATGAGGTTTTACCTTTTCGAAAAGAGCTGCCATCTTTCAAAAAATTTAATTAAAATTATTTAAGAAGTTAAATCTATTATTACAATATGGGTATCAATTGAAATGGTCTTGAAAGGCCTTATATATTAACTAAGTATAGTAGGGTTGCCACCTGTTTAACAAACTGAGTTCATCTTAACTTAGGCCATTTGGGTAATTGAAATATGATCACAATTTAAGCAGGTTTTTGTTCGAAAAAAAATTTAATATGGGTTACAAACAAAGAAATGTTAAGAAATATTTAGCTTGAACATTTAGAGTATTTTTGTGGTTTATGAAGAGGGTTGCCAGCTGACTAAAATGTCAAATTCAAATTTGTTGAAATGTTAAATGAATTACTAAAGTATGGGAATCAATCGAAATGTGTTTATTTTTTCCTTATTTGAAGGGGGTTGCCAAATGTTTCAAAAAATCATATCAACTAAATTCATCTGGTAATTGAAATATATACCACAATGCCAGATGAAGGAGATTAAGGAAATTTTACTTTGAAGATAATTTTGAAAAGGGTTGCCACCTGTTTAAAGAGTCGAATTTATTTAACTGATATTTATGAAATAATAAAATATCGATGTCAAACGAATAAGTGTTACGGAATATTTAGTTTGAACATTTAAAATAGTTTTGAGGTGCTTGAAGAGTGTTGCCACATGTTAAAAAAGTTACATTTAAATAATTTGAATGAATTAATAAAAATTTGTTATCAATCGAAATGAGTTTGAAAAAGCTTTATTTCTGAACTAAATTTAGGAGGGTTGCCACATGTTTAGAAAGTCAGATTCAATTTTAGTTAAGGTAATTTAAAGAATTATATGAATATGGGTGACAGACGAAGGTTTAAGAAGGTATAAGTTTGAAAAGCTTTTGAAGAAAGTTGCCACCTAAGGGGGAGTATTTAACTATGCATACAGTTACATGTAACAGTTAAATATGGGTGTAAAACGGAAGAGTGGTAAGAATTTTTTTATTTGAATACTTAAAAAATTTAATAGGTATTTGAAGAGGAGGAGGGTTGCCACTTATTTGGGAAATCGAATTTAAGTTAATTCACCAGTAAATTGAAGTTGTATCGCAATGTCGAACGAAAAACATTTAAGAAGATTTTAGTTCGACAAATCTTTTGAAGAGGGTTGCCACATTTTTATGTGTTCGAAAATTTAGCGAAATAAAATTCATAAACTTGCATACCTAAAATTTTTCCAAAAACACAAAAAATATATTTTTTTTTATTTAATTTTTTTTTTTAATATTTTTAACGTTTAAATTTTGTTTTGTGCAATTGGTTTTCGTTATTGGGGAGCTCCACAGTTTTTTTCAACCAGTTTTTATTATGTAACATTTATTAACTGACATTTAGTATTAACTGGAACAGGATTTGCTACTTTTTCCGCACTTTCCACTAAAAAGTTTAATATAAACTTATACAAATTCAAAGACCAGGCTCAACTGGTCTCTTGCTAATTTAAATATTTTATTAACATCAATCTAATTAAGTTTTGACTACAGTGATTTATAAATGTGTGTTTGTAAAAACTAGAGGGTGCCACGCATCAACACCATTGTCATAAGTGGCCTTCAAAAAGCAGGCTACAACTAACTTGACAACAGTTTATGGCTTATGACAGTCGCTTATAACTTATCATCAGTGATGAAATCAATTTATCATTATGCAAAAAATGATGGCACTTTGCATTCATGACGCACGTACATACATATATGCTGACCCTCATCGCATGCGTTGAGACCAGTGATCGGACTTAAAAAAAATTTGTGTGGTAGAATCTGGAAAAAAATGTGGTAGATCTCAGGTTTTGGATCAAACTTTGTACAAAAATTAAAAGTATTCTGCAAGGTTTCACCTAAATTGCAAACATTTTAATTGAATCTA